ATAGGTAAGATTCAGGTACTTACGGGCTTTAAACAAGGGTGCTCTACTATACACACAGTCTGTAGGACTGTTGGGAGACGTAATGCAAGTTGGATCTTATCAAGTCACATCTGTCATCTGGGAGACAATGTGTGGTCTATAATAATGAAACGTCAGAATAAACAACCGTGTGTAGTGGTGCGCCACAGGGCTCTGTCCTGGGTCCACGGCTGCGGTGTGCTGGTCATGGTGCTACTTTTTTGTGAAACGAAAAATGCCGTAAATAGAATTTTCTTATGCCATTGCATAGGTGATTTTGAAAAGTTGGAGACTTGCGGCACCCCTCGTACCTCCATTAATATTTAAACTATCAAAAAATTAAAAATACGTGTATAGCTAGTTTTTTTTTCAGATTTTTTTAAATTATGCCATAAAGTTGTGTAATCCGGTAAGGGCTTTCTAAAATATAGATAACATTTTACCATTTGTTCTTAATTCAGGTCCGTATTCAATATTATAATTCTCTAATATGACTTCTTATAGTAGGCCATGAAATGCAAATAAATTATTATTATTATTTTAGTTACTAAATATTTTAGTTAACAACTACATTACACTATAATGCTATATACTTAACAATTTGTTGGTCTTAGTTTATTAATATTAATTACTGTCTAAAGTTACAGCTAAAGAAACTGGTCAAATTGACTCTATTATATTGAATGCAGTATTTGCATAATTTTAAGAGCATTAATAGGAGTCATTAATAATATACAGGTGGTTCCATTTGATTTCTTCACGAAAATTAATATTTGTTATTTTGAATCACCCTATATGAACGATTCGAACTAACTTCAAGACCATTATAGGCTGAATGACTGTATGGTTTTATAAAATTGTTGGCATGGTCAAATTGGCAGCTTTCGGAAACGGCATCAAAAATATAGGGCACAACGAGATATATTACTTTGATATATTATTTGGACATCCTGTATATGAAAAAACGATTATTACTAGTACAATTTTTATGTCTGTGTTACTGACAGGTGGTGCAGTTTTTTACCCTAAATGATGAAAAAAATAAATAAAGGTTTTAAAACTTCAATTAATTATAAGGAACGTTTACTTAGGAATAATAAAAAAAAGCGGCAGCCATTTTAATGATAGTAGTGACAGCGGCAACCTATCAATGATATCAACCTAAAAACAACGCTACTAATACGGCAACTTTAAAATTAAGAAAGTGATATATTAGATAGACGTTATTTTTGACCCCTTTCTTATAACAATATGGCAAACAAGAAAACCAACAATACCACTAAAATTTAGTATGGTAACATTCTGGTAATTAACCTTTTTTTAGTACAATTTTCACTCAACAAATAAGTATAAATTACATTCATTCCAATTGTGTATCTCTTTTTATATTTATTATCGCAATTTTATATTTTATATTTTATAAGATGTACCTAAAAAAAAGGCTTGGATAGCAGCTTCTGTTATAGCTCGACCAGAAATATGGTGCTTTTATAACCGACCCCGTGATTAACTTTGCCTAATGATTATTACTCCAAAACCGCAAACCCTCACCCCTACCCATTCCAGGACCGTCCTAGGAATTTATAATTTATAAGTATGTTTTCAATCTTTAGCACAAAGTTACAATCTATTACGTTCCATTTCATTACATTTCTACAGAGTATCATTATTAATATACAAAATATTTAATAAAATAATAATAAAGTAAAGTTTATTAATTGTTCGGAACTGAATATCCATTTTTTTGAAAAAAGTACGCAACGAGAGTTTGGCACAACTAATGTTTAGGTCTGTCAGTACTTTTTTATGCAGTTCTTCGAGGGTCAGTACACTATTTACTTTATAAGCGTCGTAGATTATACGCCTAATTAGATCTACGTGTTGCTCTGTAAATACTCGCGAAGTACCAGCATCTTCTCTCACTTTCATCTTGACTATTCTATTTGTAACCATTTTTCTTTCAGCTGACGTCGGAACTTTGGTCATTTGTCATTTGTTTTTATAGCTGCTCCTACTTCCCCTTCTGAATTTCTTACAAAATTGTAAACATTCAAAAAAAATTTGTTTAGCATCCGAAGCTAAATGGATCGGTTTTATTATTTGCTGTGTTATGTTGTTAATCGACAGGCACACAAGACAAAAATGATTATTTCTAAACTTACGTGATTACCCTTTGAACAGCGAAAACAGCCTCGGAGGGTCAAAGCTCGAAAATCAGATATATAAACATACTGGAAGGATCACAGTCAAAGACCTCCGTAATATATACGAACATATTGCAATTTAGGTTAAACTCAACATACATATCACCTGACATACCCCGCAGCATCAATGATTAACTCATTACTGACCGCTGACATAGTAATACGTCATTTTGTGTCCGAAATTCAGTAGCCGCTGACGTAGTAATACGTTATTTTTTGTTCGAATTCCAGTAGCCGCTGACGTAAACCAGAGCGATAACTCAGACATTGTAATCAATACTAAAAGAAAGGTTTTACCTATTGTAAGTGATTCTGAGAGCAGCGATTCCGATGGTACAGCGTTTGAAAACAAAAAGTATACTACACACTGGCTCGAAAATGATGATATAAATATAAACGCATTTTTGGGAAATGGTGGTGTTTCCAAAAAATCCTGAAAATATACAAGATACAGTGGACTTGTTTATTTTTAAATTATTAGTAAAGGAAACAAACCGTGAAAAAGATGGCCAGATACAATAGCCGAAATGAAGAAGTTTCTTGGTTTGAGTATTTTAATGGGGCAGGTACGAAAAAGTAGTGTAAACGATTATTGGTCTACTGACTTACATATTGAAACACCAATTTTTGGCAAAGTTATGCCTCGAAATAGGTTTAGACAAATATTACAATCATTACATTTTTGTAATAATGATGAAACGCCAGAAAACGCAGATCGGCTCTTCAAAAGTGAACCAATAACAGGATATTTTGTGTCCATTTGGCAGATCAATACCTTTCTTATAATCCTATGATAAGAAAAAGTCTCAAATGGACAAAAAAGAATTTTATGCTTATGTTGAACTGCGCATTATTTAATTCATGTGTGATATACAAGAAATTTGACCCGGCAAAGAAAATAAAATTTACCTCTTATTTACTGGAAGTTGCTAGAAGTTGAGCCGAAAATCATGAAAATGTGGGTTTGGAAGCAGAAGTTTCTGAAGGCCCATCAAAAAGAGCTGCTCGTGAGGATCCACCAAGTAGGCGGCTTTCAGGAGATATAAAAACACATAGGCTTGTAAAACTTAAATGTGCGGGGAAAAAAAATCCACCGAAACGGTGCAAAGTTTGCAAAATTCACGGCATAAGGAGATAAACTTGCCTTATGTGCGGATATTGTGAACTTCCTCTATGTGTTGGAAAATGTTTTAAGGACTACCACATTAAAAAAATATATATATTAGAAATGTAATTTTTAAATTAGGTACTTTTTTGTTCCAATAATTGTTTGAATTGTTTGCCTTATTTAGTTAATATAGTTTTATATGAATAAACGTATATTATTATTTTGTTTATAGCTTTACCATTAAAGAATCAATTTTAGCGGCTCTTGGCTTTGTATCGCGGCCGATAATGAGTTAATCAAATTTAAAACGGTCCATTTACGGTTCAAGTGAAAATTTCTCAAGTTTCTTTCAATATTCGTTACGGTCCACCTCAGAAAGACCTACTTAATGTTGGGATGGGTTTTACCACGGTCCTGCGAAGGTCTGCGGTTAAATTGCCGTAATATATTTAAAACGTCAAAGCCATAAATGCACTATATTTTTGGTCGTAGGAGCAATAATTTTAAAATTTTGCGCCGAATGCAATACGGCATTGTCCGCTTACTCCATATTTGATATCAATAAAGTATTCTTCGGAACTTATAAAAAACAATGAAAAGTAGCGATGTTATAATACTCGTACGTTATGACGTATAACGTGCATGTTCCGGATCAGTGTTCCGGTTGCCAGCTAGACGCCAGTCCGATAATCGCGTAACACGACCACAGGCTAATTAAATTATAACCTGCCATTTCTTATCGCGTCGACAACAACGGACGCCGATATACCGGCGGCGAAATCTCAGAGATACGCACCGCACCGAACGATCATTAATAGAGCAAACTGCAGTCTGCACGTGTTCTCGTACACGGCGTATAGAAAAGGTGCGATGCAGTGAACGCGGCGGCGTGGGAATATGGTCAGGCCAGATACCATCCGAGATACCGAGCAGCCAGCCCGCGGAAAAAATGCCGTATATTAGACGTATATACCTTCTCGATATAGCGGAAAATCGAAATATAAAATTGGTTTTTCTTTCACTGCCGCCCGCTCGGATGCCGCTCGGCAATTATGAGATTAATCGAAACCGTGGTTATATGACGTCAAAGTTCCGATTCGCTAAGCACACGTCACATTCTTCGCCGCGATGGGATGCGCTTCCGCGTGTCTACGGTCGATCGTTGTCATCTGAAATTGGTTTTTGTCCACCACATTTCAATGGTCGCATTTAGCGGACGTAACACAGCGCTCCCGATACGTAGCGGTAGCGATTGGAAACGTGTATGTAGAGGTTATGATGTCTTATTTTTGTTGCGTGTTGTTTTGAGATTCAGATTTTTTTGAAAGTATATCTTATTCAGTGTTTGTGTGCAGTGCTGCTGATTTAACATGTGTAGTACCTACTACATCAGTTGAAACGGACGTTATGGACACTTTAAATAGGTGTCCAATAGAAGACTGGTAAGGAGTTGTGAAGGGAACTTATTGGAATATTTTCTAGGCCTACATTTTGTAAACTTATTAAGAGGTCTATTTCAGAATTTACCACGTCTAGGCACGTTTTGGAGCAGCGAGACATTTGATATGATTAGAAAAGCAGCTACCACACCTCGAAGTGGATATTGCAGATAAGGGTGGAAATGAGGAGGAACCAAATAGCAAATATGCTTTTATAACAAATAAAAATATGTTTTTAAATTATTGATCTTTTTTTATAATTTACATAATAAGTGCAAAATTTTCTTTCTTTTTTTCTGGATTTTCTTGCTTACGAGCTTCCTCGATATTTGACAGATTTCTTCATAGATAAAACATTCCAAACATTGACTCCCTGGTACTTCTAAAATGAAAACATGTTATAAGTTTTTATTTTTTTTAATTATATCAATAAAAAAAAAATTGAAACTTACCTACAGCGGTATACAGGAGTTGCTTTGATTGGAGTGGTTTCCATCTGGGATAGCGGATGGATCTTTCATATTTTAGGCAAGGGCCTTTTTTCTTATAACAGGAACTGCTGTCAAGGTTATTAGGTTAGGGAGGTTAATTGTTTTCCCTATGTATTTCATCAACCTGGTTCTGGTTCCAGTTTTCCCAATCTTGTCTTTGATGACTGTGTAGGTTTTATTCAAGTTTCTGCATTTCCTATACAATATTTCTTCAGTTTAGTGAAAATACATTCTGCAAATAACTTAAAATAGCATCTCTATTTCATGTGAGTGTAATTTGCGTTTAAAAAAATTATCGTTTGTTTGAAAAAAGACATACCTTGATACTATCTTCGAAACCTCGAGGGGTTTTCGAGAAAACTTTCCCGTTGAGACCCTGAAAAAATTTTTTTTGTAAATACTATTAACAATAATATAAGTATTAAACAAAATATATTTATTATGCTGCAATTTCGTACTCACCATCCAATACACCATAACCAAATTCCTCTTTCAAGACCAAATACCGATACCGATCGCTTCGCTACCGCTACCCAGCACAAAATAAACTCCCTACTAAAAAACAGCGTCCACCCCACAACATGTTGGATTTGTAGCGCAGGTGCAACCAGACGTTTCCGTTACGGCTTTGTAAATTCAATTGTCCAACGCGCTCCCAATCGGAATCGCTACCGCTTCGTATCGTGAGCGCTTTGCTACGTCCGCTGAATGCCAAATAAAAATTCGTCGTCACAGAACAAAAGAGAGAAGTGCACCATAAAATACTGATAAGTGATTGTACAATGTTAGATTAGGTATCTTATCTTATCAATTCGTCATCCCATTGGGCAACCAGCCAAATACTGCATTAGCGGTGCCAATGCCTCTAGTACTCTCAGACTCTCCAATTTTTTTACACAGATCGGTGTCGTTTTCGTAACGTTTTAAACAACTCACCAAAAGAAGTACTGTGTCAGTTGTGCTCTGTGATTAGTTTAGGTTAGGGTTACGTTGCGACGACCGTAGAAAAGTGCTTAATGATTGTGCGGGAGCTGCGGACTTGGTAATGGTAAGCACTAATATACCATGACATATCGCCAGGGCCACCTTTTAAAACCATGGTTATTGTAGGTTAGGATTATGTTGCGGGCGTCGCTAGCATAGATATTGACGTTACTGCGGAATTTCTAATCCACAAGGTAAGCACCAATTTCCACAAAACTTTACCTTAACGTACGGATAATTGTAATCCCCGTGGAATCAGCTGTAATAAATAAAATATTTTCGCGAAAACCTAACGGGCGCACCATCTAGGGAGCGATGTCCCAGCTAACGAGTCGGATATCGCAGTGTTCTGCTTTACCTTCAGGCCGGCGAACGGCTACAAATATAGTCTGTTCCATATGAATAGTCGTGAAAATTACGGTTTCAATCATTGAGCTGTACAAATGTTTTATTGCGATGTCAAAATGTCATCCGCGTTTTCGATTCGTCACGCAAAAAGCAGGGGTTCGTGCGTCAACCCTCATGTTTTGTTTTAGTTGCCAAAATGGGCGAGAAGGTTCGGAATTTCGCAAGCGGAAACACGCAGAAAAATACGATCGTCGTTTTCGGTTTGGTGGTGCACGTCGTTCTGCTTTTTGCCGTGGTCGACATTTATTTCTCGAGCCCGTTAGACCACGGAATGAGTTTGATAAAGTCGACCGACAATCCTCCGGCTAAACGTTTGGTGCTTTTCGTCGCGGATGGTCTGAGGATGGAAGCGGTTTTCGGCAAGAATTCGGACAGGATACCGTTTTTAACGAGCGTGATGGAGAACGGCGGTTCGTGGGGTACCGCCCATACGAGGGTGCCCACAGAATCACGGCCCGGACACGTGGCTATGCTCGCAGGTAGGGTAAATTGCATTGATTTGAATGCTAAATGATTGTTAACGATATGCATTATCTCATTGCACTTTCGGATAGACTGAATAAATTTTGGCCATTAAAGGAAATTCTCAATTATTTAGTTTTTAAAAGAGATGAAAAAATCCAGCAGGCGTTGGCCTAAACTATATAGCTATTAGACATATAGAGGTCTTGCCTATGCCAATAGTACAGGAACTCGTGCAGCAACTTTGTCACAAAACTTTGAGAAGGTCTGTTCAATGTGCGCATGCGCAAGATTTGAAACCAATGGCAGCTCTAACTGCAAATTCTGACGTTCGACCCATCAGGCCTTGCGGCTCCCAACAACCAACATGGCCGCTGTCAGGTCGTCAATGTTTCGATATTAAGGTGTAAAAAGTATTGTTAAAAAATTAGTGACAAGTGCAAAGTTAATATTATGCTGAATTACAGCAGTATTAGTATAATTCTGTAAGTATTGCATGCACAATTTGTTTTTATGAAACTTATTGGTTTAACATCTATTAAAAACTTAAATCAAATCGAATTCACGAAATGTAACCCTAAAAGTGTAAATATAACTTTGAGGTACTAGATATCGCACTGGAAACATCTAAGCGGAAGAAATGTTCAATAAGCGCCGTATATAGACAGAACGCTCATTCTTTCATCGCAAGTCTAGTAATTGCAGAAAGTTGCAGAATACATTATCATAAAAAGTACCAATGGATAATTTCGTTAAACTGTAAGTAAGTATTGGAAAATGTAACCAAGAAATTTAAAAATTGAACTGAGGTGGCTTTTTCTTGATGAAAATCCATTTATCAAAATAAATAAGAACTAAAAGTTCAGATTTTCATGAAATTATATATTTTGACATGACATTTGTTTCGACAAGACCATATCTTTATCAAATGTCACCAGAAATTTAAAAGCTAGTATAAAACAAGTCAATAAACAATTTTACCAAAAGCTAAAGAGGGTCGTTTATTATCTGAAAATTAAAAAAAAACATTTTGCTAGCAAAAAATGGTGGCTACTGCAAAAAAATCCCCGTCAAAAGTATTTAACAGCAATTGTTAAATGCCAAAAGTGCATGTAGAAATTGCATTGTGTCTACCGGGCTTTAAATACGAGTATCAGTTCACACAATAATTTACCTACATTTTATTGCCATCTGGGTGCAAATGTAAATAACCAAAAATTATTTTTCCAGAAATGCTCGGTATTTTTTAAAGATTCTGGTTTATGCCACAACTACGACTTGCCTTTAATAATAATAACATTTTATATAGTGTTTTATTTTATTAACTTGTTTTGAAGTTCACAGAAGATATAGCTGGAGAATGACCACAATGTAAAAATATAAATGAATAAATACATGAATTATTTAATTTAGCCTTTATTGAAAAGAATAAAGTACATTGTTGCTTATAAACACAATAAGAAATTAAATAAAAATAAATGCTGCATTTTTTAATAGCATAATAATATTTATTTTTTATCTGCATAATGGCGTCCGACATAAGATGCTTCAGTGTTATTCTTTTGAAGGAACTTTTATATTATTTGATTTAAGAGAATCACCACCTTTAAAAACTGAAGTTCTTTTTAAAAACTGATGACTGCTAGTTATTCTGTGCCAGGCTTCTGTATAACTTGTAATGTTGTTTTCACTACTACTGAAGGTTAAAGATCGGCTGGTGTCTGCTCTAGGAAAGAAATTATTATCTTGACTTGTTAGAAATAAATCCCAAAAATTTCAAAGTGGAAAATTTTCAGTCACAAATTATGCCGAAAAAATAAAAATTTTATCAGTCGGGTTAGAAAAAAAAGGACCATTTGGTTCTTTAAATATGGGCTGTCTGTTAAGTACCATTGGTAAACAGAATGACCAGAAAACAGGTAAACCCGATTTACAACTGATCACAATATCTACCTAAAAGTGTTTATCACCCCTCTTATAGCTTAAAGGAGTGATATGGATGCTCTTCTAAAGCTATCAGCCTTCCTGACAGCTCCATTTTTGACCAAGAAAGTTATCCATTGTTTCCTTACAATTTCATCTTTTGGTAAACTAAAAAATAAAATGTAAATTGAATGACACTATATGGATATGTGATTAATATATCAAAACTAATAAACAGACATATATGCAAGTCTACAAAAAAATGGGATAGAAAACATGGATCAGTCTCATAACTTGTCCAAAAACTTGTACTAAACAGTGATTCACACAAGGGAGGTAGGTGATACTTGTCAACGAGTCAACGACATAGCTTACTCTCGAGCTAAGCAAATGTTGGAAAAATAGTTGGAGACTAATCAAGCTCTCTTCTTTCTCTTCTTCTTTTTTTAGGACTCACCAACATTGACGTCGATGTAGATGTGCACAAACACGTTGCCATTAAAATGTCTCCTAAAACACCACAAATCTAAAAAATTCAAATTTAAATTTTTAGGTTTCATTTTGTTTTACGTGTTTTCACTTTTTTCCCTTATTTCTATTCTAATGTTCCCATTATGGCGCAGGGGGATATCCCCAGGCCATCTATTTAGAGGATATCTGTGGTATATCGTGTACAGTAAGTCCGCAAGATATCCATTCAGAGGATATCCCTGGGATGTATTTTACAGTATATCCTTAGTATATATCCTAAGAATATTCTCCACATGTCGTGGGACTTAAATGGGACGTTGATCCAATATACTGGGGATATTGTGTGCTATTTGGGCGAGACCAAAACCTCTCGTCACCGTCATCCCTTTATATTCCTGTATCTACCGCATTCGAATCGCTCATTCTTAACCTTTGTCCGTTTTCAATATTAAATCACGGGCCCGCAAATCTCCAACCCTTTCTTTCCGTCAGGCATCTACGAGGACCCCAGCGCGATCCTCAAGGGCTGGAAATCGAACCCCGTCGATTTCGATTCCATCATCAATCAGAGCACGAACGCGTGGTGCTGGGGCAGCCCCGACATCTTGAACATATTCAACAGGGATCGGTCGGCCCACATTCGCGTCTTCACTTACAGCGCCGAGCTCGAAGACTTCGGCGCGAACGACACGAGCTCCTTGGATGGCTGGGTGTTCCGCAAGTTCCGATCCTTCCTCAAGAATGAAGTAGGGGCTTGCGCGGAAAACTGCCATCTTTACGCGCGCCAGGGCAATTTCTATTTCTTGCACTTGCTCGGCATAGACACTGCCGGTCACGGATTTAAACCCCATTCGTCCGAATACGAGGCCAATATCAGATTCGTGGACGGCAACGTTGAAAACGTAGTCCGCCATTTTGAATCGGTGTTTGGAGACCGTTCGACCGCGTACGTGTTCAGCTCCGACCACGGCATGACCGATTGGGGTTCCCACGGGGCCGGTTCCGTCCACGAAACCGAAGTGCCGGTCATAGCATGGGGCGCCGGAGTCAAAAGGAACCCCCGAAGGCAGGACGTGAGGCAAATCGACTTGGCACCGTTGATGGCGTCCCTGATCGGCCTCAACATTCCGAGCAACTCGCTGGGTCTCGTACCCGCCGGCTACTTGGACGTCCCCCCCAAAGAGTTGGCCCAATTCCACATATCCAATGCCCTACAGCTCTTGGAGACGTTCAACGTGAAAAGACTGAGGACGGAGACGAACGCGTTGGTATTCGTACCCTACGCGGGTCTTACCACCTCCGTATTGTCCGACAAGGTGGCGAGACTGCGCAGGTTGCAGCGGGACGGGCAGTATTCCACCGTGGTGGAAGAAGGGAGGGTTTTGATGGGTACCCTCGTGGAGGGAGTGGAGTATTATCACAACTACTACCAGTACCCGCTGCTAGTTTCTGTCTCCGTCGGACTGGTCGAATGGATCTTGTACTTGGTGACTGCGGGGGTGGGTGACGCGTCGTCGTCGACCACCTCACCTCTGAGCCGCACCGAAAAACTCGGCATCGCCGTCGCGAACGCGTTCCCCATCGTCCTCTGTAAACTTCAAAAGTTCCCCCTCTCCTACTACGTCCATTTTTCGTTCCCCTTCGCGATGTTCGCCACGTTGTACCCTAACCTCCACCGACTAACTGCCGCTTTCGCGTACTTAAAAGAAGACAGATGCAGGAAGCTGCCGATTTACGTCGTCGGCATCGAACTCCTCGTGTTCGGATTCTTCAATCGGTCTTCTTTTTCCGTCCTCGGCCTTCTCGTGGGGCTGTGGGTGTTCGCGTCCGATTCCCTTCGCGCTTACACCACCAACGCCGATAAACTGCTGTGGGCGTGCCTCTGCGCCGTCATGTCCATTTTCCCGCTGCTGCCCGTGATGAAGACCACCTTCAACGTCCCACTGTACATCCTGGGCGGCGTCGCTTGGGTCGCTTTGTTCTACGCGATGGCACCCTCGCGCTCTCTAGACCGGAATGTCACCCGGTGTCAGCTCGGGTGTCTGATCGCCGCGATGCTCTACGGTCTGGCGTTGGAGAAAGGTTTTATCGCCCACAACTCTCGTCTCAAGTACGCGTCTTGGTTCATCGCGACGGCGCCCGCGGCCTCCATACCATTCGTCGGGAAATTCGTCGCCGTCAGGTTGGCAGCGATGTTTTTCGGCTTCGCGCCGTTTTACTTGCTCGTCTCGTCCAACTACGAGGTCGTATTTTCTGCCGTATACGTCGCGTGTCTCTGCACTTGGTTGCTGATGGAAGACAAAGCCCTCAAAGGACGTTCCTCGTGGCAATTACTCCACTACGCCGAGTTTGACGGGTACCGTAGCGAACCTAAGCTGAATGCGGACATCTACAGGCGAGCTTTCTTGTTCATGGTGTTTATATTTATCGGTTTTTTCGGCACCGGAAACGTAGCCAGCTTGAACTCGTTCGATCCCATGTGGGTACGGGCATTCCTAACCGTCTTTAGTCCCTTTAAGATGGCCGGGTTGATTCTGTTGAAGATCGCCGTACCATTTCTGTTCACGTGTTGCGTATTTCGAGCCATCAATTCCATAGGGCGGGAAGACGTCACGCAGATGTTTTGCATAGTGTTGCTCTTCTCGGATTCGATGGTGTTGCAGTTTTTGTATCTCATCACGAACAAGGGCTCGTGGTTGGATATCGGTTCTAGCCTGTCCCATTTCGTGATCATGGAAGCGTTCGTTACGATTTTGTTGGTACTTTATAGTTGCGCTCACGCGTTGACTACTGCCAGTTATTTCGCCGTGCGTCGTAACTGAATAGTATTAATCGAGTATTAGTATTGTTTTTTTGTATATTTTTTAAAAATTTTGTAGTAAATGTTTTTTTTTTGTAACGTGCAGTTTCTTTTCATTTAAACTCGTTCAGTTTGAGGTTCCCGTCGACCTGTAGATACTCGGGCATGATCTATTAATTTCAACAGTCAAAACTAAATTTGCGGGGAAATAAAAAAAAAAAGATTAAAAGAATCCAGCATCTACAAAGCTACAATGATTATCAAATTTAAAAAGAACGCATTCGAATGTACGAATACTTTCTAATAAAGTATCCAGATTTCTGTAAGCCAGAATCTTGCACAAGTTCCCTTTTTGGCGCTTTTATGGGGTATCTCGGTTATTTTTTGATGTAGCAAGTTGCATATTATTCTTTACAATAATTGGAAATCGAGTTGGAAGTTGAAAATTAAGTCCAATTTTTTTTCATAATTTATTTCATTTGTAGCCTTAAAACAATTATTATATAGCTATAATCCGTTATGGAGTACTATTTGCAATAATTTTCAACTATTATAATGCGTTGTTACATTAATTAATACGAAATAACATTACGTCTAAAGAATATTCACATAATATCACAAATAGCACAGAGCCGTCCGCAAAACATCCTCGGGATATCTGACGGGACATTGCGTATATCCTAGGGATATTCTGTTTCAGCTAAGGGATATCCTTAAGAAGTCTCAAGGATATACGATGTTACTAATTGGAACGTTCACGGTATATCAGAAACCTATGTCCGTAGGATGTTTGTTAGGACATACTAAGGATATCCAGTTATACTAGTTGAGACGTCGTTAGTATATCCGACTGTGAGGATATAGGATCTTATATAGATATACCAGTGGATCTTACTTATTAGGTTACTTTCAACGGCCTATGAGAAATACTGGAAAGGTAATGTCCAGTAGTCCAATTGGTTGTACGACTACAAAAATTCTATCCAAGTATTTGATACTCGCGTGTGATGGGATTAACCTATTGGGTCCGGTTGGTGAAGTCATCACTGGAAATGCACAAGTTTTTCCCAATTAATATTTAATCTTTAATTTTGCTTTTGATGGCCGATTGATACCATTAATACCATTGATACCATTAATAAAACACATTTTTTATACCAATTTTTCAAAGAAACTTCCACAGACTACTGTAATACTATTTACAAAACTTCTGGATTCTTCCTGCGTCGGTTTTTGCTGAGTCGAAATTGCTGACGTTTCGCCAATCATCCTGTTGGCTTCTTCCCAGCTTGACTGAAACTGGCTCGTCAAGAAACCCTAGTACATTTTCTTAGACATTTACACTCGATGCACCCTAACATACGTTTTACCATTGAGTTGGAAACTATTAATAACATTCCATTCTTAGATATTCCTATCAATAAGAAATCAGACCTAATATTGGGTCATTGTGTTTACAGAAATCCTACGCACACAGACCAATACTCTCTCGTTTATCTCTTTTTGTATTTGATCCCTATTATACAAAAACAACAACTTGATACAAACCCTTTTTTAATTTAATTAAATGTTTAGAAAAACTAATACTAATACGAATACTAGTATGTGGAGAATATCTTTTTAAATAATACAGATTAGTCAGAAAATGTGAGTTAATTTTAATTAGGTATGAAAGTATTATTTCAAAAAAGACTTAAAATACATTTACTTAAATATGAACATTTATCCAATATTTTTTCAATTTCAATGGGTAAAAAATTTAAGTTGCAAAAAATAAAATTAGATACTGTAATAATATGCGAGCATTACTAACCCCTTTTTCCCGTCGCTGTACCCATAGACAACACAAGGATTTACCATTACCATTGCTTTAATATTAATAAAATCAGTAACAAAAATATGAGAAGGTATTACGTCCACAAAAGATTGTTAATTGTCAAAATATATCACAACCACGCAACATTGAGAGATAATATAAACAACATGTTATTAGAAATTAGAACTCAACGAATCAAACGAATGTTTGAACTGATCCACATAGTCCATGCAGTAGAATGATTTTAGCAACTTTGCACTTCCACACACTTAGTTCCTGCCAGCCTGTCAAGGTTCTCCTGCAGTGCAAAACAATCATCGGGAGTTCCAATTTTCATGAATAACTTTAAGTCCGCAGCAAAGAAAAGCAAAAAGGCTAGGTATTGAAAATTTAGTAGTACAGTCTGTTCATAGATATAAAAAAGTGATTAACTGATACGAATTAAGGAAAGACCCGGGCAAGCTGTAAGAATGCAATATGGCCGAACAGGTCCGTACTTTGCTTAGAATTTAATTATTTGGGGTTTTGTTAGGAAAGATACTAAACAATATTTATTTGTTTATGTATGTATTTATGTTTAAATCTAAAATAAAATTACAAATTATTTTTATTACCTACTTAAATTACTTAAAATTATTCATATATCAGTATCGCTATCATCGCCTGTGCTAATTATTATTTGTTGTATATTATTTGCAATATGGATATACGATTGTTCTGCTTTTTCTATATGTTTAACAGAATTTGCCCAACTTTGTGGAAGGATGTTAAAAACTTCGGTTTCTATAAGTTCTTTCAATGACAGTCAAATAAACATTGTTTATAACTTCCTTAGTCTCAATAGAATAGTGTTTTCTACATTTGGGCGGGAGCATCTCCTGAGATACACTAGACTCGCACATATTCTGCATAATTCGCACACGATTCAACACACGCTGTATTACACACGAAATAAGAATGATTACTTATAAACTTTAACTAAGTAGTATACCAAACCGAAGAATATTAAACACAGGTAGGTATAAAATTATTTTCTATTACGGACCACAATTTTACCTGAATTCAAATTCCGAAACTTTAGGTAATAATCTTGTTGCATTGTATGTTAATGGCCACCATTGGATAATCCTATTCAAAAGCAATTGGTCACATTCTTATATCTCGCTGTGACTGAACTCAAAGAAGCCTCTGTGAACGGTGTGAATGTGCAATGACTTTCTCTAATTTTGTTGATGTTGCTTCCTTTTGTTTATTTATATAAACGTCCTGTACTTTGTTATATACACTGTCCTGTTAATTTGTATTATACACTGTTTTATATAATTACACACAAAACAGAACAAAATTCTATTCTATTCTATAGATGTCGGAATATTGTCATATTTTGCATAGCTGAAACAGCTATCAAGAGAAAACCACTCCAGTTCAATTCATGCCACATACCATAAAGAGTACATCGGCATTACTTGTAAATACTACAATTTTTATAGAATCATTTGCCCGAACTACTCAGTAACCGCCGGCAAGTAAAGAACCGCTCTAAGGAAAGCCCAGTACGGGCGGAATAGCGGACAGCGAAAAAATCTATCGAATTAACAAGAAACGGCAGTTAAAGAACGGTAAAAGCGTATAAATTCGTACACAAACGGCATTGTATCTAAGTCGTGTACCCCGGAATGGGAAATTAATTCAAGAAAACCGCTTGGAACTGGCGTTTCCGAGTCGGTAACTCAAATTATCGGCGCATCTGACAGCGACAACACCTGCGAGGCATGCGAGGTGCGAGAACGTGCTGTTTACCGATACTCCTGCATGTTTCTCCGCTGCAAAGAGTATGTTCGATCGATTTTTCTACTGTTCCGTACGACCACGTGATATAGATGCGGTGTGGTCTTTACTAGCGTTCCAGTTTTCGTGTCAAGAGGTCAGGATTCTTGACACGCCGTGCAAATTATCGGTTTGTCGTTCTGTGTGTTGGAATCTGGCGATGGTGTGTGGGACGCCAAATGCACGTCGTCCGAAATGAACGATAACTGACGATTCGATTGACTTTTTGATCGTTTTTAATCGTTTTAATCTCCAAACGTCTAAATCTCCGTATTTATATATTTTTTATTATATATAAATAAAAATTTAGACTTCCATAGTAAATTAATGATTATGTGTCAAATGAAGTTCGATATGGCGCCCCAAGGCCAAAGTAAAAAAGGTTTCTTAATAGTCCGCGGCATGCGTATAAAAGCCAATCTGTGTTCTTTTGTCAAATGACAAAAAACCTATTAATCTTTGGTTTTAAAGTGTGTTTTGGGTACACTTTAATTTGTAAATAATTATTGTTGTTGCAGTCAGTCACGGCATTCTTTGAAATTATATAAAAATTTCCTATTTTTGCGGATTTATCAAAAACCAGTGGACTAAAATATGAAGGAATATATCGGAATAAGATATTCTATTAAACACATTTCAAACATATATGATGTAGACTTGTACATCAGAAAATTGATAGTGTTTTGTTATATACGTCACTGGGAAAAATCTGGCAACTAACCCTGCATTTTGTTTTTTTTGATTACCTTGACATCTCTAAAAACAACAAAGTTACAACCAATTAAAATGTTGTCAAGACACAAGTTACCCTTTTTCTGCCTTACTATCTAACCCAGTTCAGTGAAGGATCTACCTCTTTGTCCAATATAAATTTTAGGACAAGATCCGCATTTCAACCTGTAGGCACCTGATTTTTGAAATTTTGGACATTTCGTTTTATTGTTTTTTAAAAATTTTCATATTGAATTATTAGTTCTGAAAGCTATTTTTAAACTAAATTTTGACAAATGTTTTGAAACTTTTTCACTAGGTTCTCATATGTATGTAATTGTTTTAAGTTGTTCGTGTTCTGTATTAGGTTTCGGATAAATAGAGTTTTACTGTTGTCTGGATTTGTTTTTTATTTATAATAGTTTTCTAGGGTTGGAACGGACAGACAATTGAATTCTTTTTTAAATTACATTAACTTATTACATAATCGTCTAAAATTCACTATCGAGATTGAACAGAATAACTCTATTAATTTTTTAGACTTAACTATTACGAAAGCGCAAGATCAATTAGATTTTTCAATTTATCATAAACCTTCACACACGGACACAGTCATATATAACAGCTCAAATCACCCTTATACACACAAAATGGCCGCATTTCACTCTTTTATACAC